TGCAGTTTAAACCCATGTCCTCCTGGTCAAAAGGTTTTTACCTACTGGATTAAACTAGAAGGCAACAGTTTATGTGAATTAAATTACACAGTAATAAAATCCTACAAAATCCTACAAATGGGCAGTATCTGTTGAACACAGGACACCCATGTATCTAGACATTTATACTGAATATAAATAATATTGCAGTTTCATGCAGTAAATTATTACAAACCAGTCATACAAAATGGCAGTCAAACATAAATTTTTCATTTTTTCATCTCAAGTTCAATGCACAGACAACACTAAACAACAACAATTTACTCCACTCAACCCAGCCTGCCTCTCCATCCCCAACTCCTTGCTGCCAATAACTGCACGTGAAAAATCAAATCAAATCCTAAGCAGAGCCTAGGATGCTCCATGGGCCAATAGTTACAATGAGCCAAACATTTTATCTAATTTTCTCTGAGCCAAAAGGACATGTTACTAGTGAAAACCTGGGTACGACCAAAAGCTCACCCAACATCTACTCTCTCATTGACAGAAAGGTTGACGTTGATGAAAGTATCCTGTTATGCATCCAGGATATCCACAATTACTGTGCAAGGAGGTATATCCCAGGTGTTCTCCTGTGGCTGAAAAAAAACCGCTGGTTTTCTGCTGGGATTCCAAAGATTAAGTAACAGCAAATTCTGCACAAAGAAGCAAAGGGAAAGCTGTTGGCAATGAACCCCCTTATATTCAAGAGCTTATTTATCTATCTATGTAAAACAGCCGGTTCTGATATATTGTGGGTGAAATCATTAAAATGATATACCAACAAGATGCGTTGCCATGCATTACCAGAAAGAAAATATATACGAAGCATACAAAAAAACAAACCAACCAACCAAACAAACAAAAAAACTCATTCTTATTTTTAGCTGTAAGAAACCATCTTAAGAAATGGTGTGACAGGAACTGACCTTCTTTCAAACAGAAAAAAAAATCTTTCCAGTAAGTTTTCATGTGTAAAAGGTCTAATTTCCTTCTATAATATCTGTGTTTTTTTTCAAGACATGATCAGCAGGTGCACCAGATCTCAAAAACCTCTTGTCCTTCATCACAAATAATTGTGCTGCATATAATATTAAGAAATACAAGCACAGAAATGTAAGTGATGGGAGTTCAATTAAAAACAGCATAATCTCTGTTGCATATAAAATGATTCTGCAACTGAAATCAGGTTCTAATGAGAGAAAAAAAGGAATACATTTTCACATATTTTTAATTACATAGAATTTCCTCAAACATGATTTTTAATAACATATTCCATTAGGTTAACATCATATTTAAGGAAAGTGCATTTTCTGATTTCATTTTAAGTCTGATTTTGAGCAATTATTGTGTCATTGTTCTGCAGTAGAAAGGTTGAATTCATTTACTATGTGGTTATGCTAGTTATGATTGATGTCGTTTCTGCAAATGATAAACCAATCACCCCAATGATGTAATGTCATTTTAAGAGGGCTATAATCACATTTCTCTCAAACTGGAAGCTCTGATGAGTTCTAACAAAGATTTATTGTAGATTAAAGGCCTTCATAATATCAACAATAGATTGCTCATTTGATGGCAGATTTGATTAGGCAATTTTTTTAGGCAAATGAGTTTTCCAGATATATCAAGAATGGCTATTTTGAAGGGCATAGGGCAGTACATATGCATGACTACCACCTCATATCCAGAAAGACTAATCTTAAGCTTTTTGAGGAATTATCCTGTAATCGTAGGGGCTTAAGTGAACAATCAGTCAAACAAGAGGACACTTATTAAGTAACAGTATCTTTTGCAAATATTTAATCTTCAATATGTACCTTGGAGATGGCAATAGAAATGTTTAACAGAAAAAAAAAAACCCCAAAAAACAAAAAAACAAGACAGGGTCAGGAAATAATTATTAACAATCACTATCAGGCATATTGTCATTATCCATCAATAATAACTGAGATCTACGCCTTAATTATATTCAAAGCTTCTTAAGCCCAAACAAGATATTTGTATCTATCCACTGTCTCCCAAATATGAGAATCAATATTCCCAGACACTAGTTTCCACAGACCCTAAAAAAGGGGGGGAAAAAAACCCCACGGTCTAATTTCTGTCATGTAGCTGGCATACACTGCTCTGAAAATCTCTTAAGGAAAAACATACAAAAAAAAGTCAATTCCCATTTGTAGTACATGTCACTATCTCTGGTATATTCCTGTAGATTCTCTAAAAGTATTGCAAAAATCTGCCGAAAGAAAGTAAGATTGCCAGAAAACATTGACTTAGTTTCTAAGGAAGTATTAAGGCCTGAAGAGCTTGTGCTGTCAGATATTCTCAACGCTGATGAAACTGTCCCATGTGTCTCTGTGGCGTAAAGTAGATGGAAGGAAGACAGCTGCTTCCTACATCCTGGAAATTAGAAGCACATCATTATACACTATATGAGGGTTTATTAAAGAAGGAAATGGAATATGCTTGGGAAAACATATGGTGAATTATAGATGAACAAACCAACTACTAAAATCAATTCAAAACATATCCGAGCATCCTGAAAAAATACCTTGCATTAGTCCACAGGCTGTAAAAAATGTAAAATCCAAGGCTTCTAAGGATATAAAGCGAGCAATGACTATTATTTAAAATGAGATATAAAAAGCTCTTCCATCAAATTTGTGCATGTTCTTTCTCTGCCCCTTTTTTCATTTGATTTTAAAAGAAAGGAAAAGCCGTCCTGGTTCACACAACTCCAGCAGAGCAGCCCAAGTGCCCAGTACGAAAGCACCCTCTAAGTCTCCACCTATTTTTGGTTCAGATTTCCTGATGTCTATTTGCTTCTACTCAGGAACCCTAACTGTATCTCTCTCTCAACAGCTTTCCTCATTTCCTCCTGAGCCCTTGTCAACTGATTCATTGCATCCTTCACCCTGTGCTCTCTGCTTTGTTCTTGATTCTTTTCCTAACTGTTGACATCTGCCTGATGCTGAGCATTGAGTTGAAACTTGCATATCCCCAAGAACCCACTTCTCTTGGGTAATGCCCCATCATTAACCTGTCAGCTTTTTGCTGTTGTTTTTCATGAGTATTACTACACTTACCTTCTCTGAATTACTTCTGACATTTTATTGTCCTGTTACTTCATCTCATAAAGCGTTTCTGCGATGCTTCACAGTCTAATCTTGTTTTTAACACCTTATCCTGAGCTATTTTTTTTTATCTTACTGCTCACCACCTTCTCCAGGTGCCATCATAGCCCATGGAATGCCAATTACTCTTGGCATTTGCCTTCCAACAACTGCTTCTTATTGAAGAAGTTTCCCTCTCACTCTTTGGTAGACCGGTTTCCTTAAAAGCTGAGAGCATTTTAAAGCCCAAAGAGAGATCACCCTTCCTTACAAATGGTTGGCCCCTGCAAGCAACGTAACGGTTTCTGAGGCAGGACTACCCTTCATGGAAGCTATACAGACTCTGCAAACATGGAACATGTTACGTAGGTATCCACTTTTTTTCTCCCTGCTACTATGATTTCTACAGAGTTGTCCATCACAGATGAGGGATTTGGAGGGCTGCAGGTTAGCTAGAACAGCTTTCAAAGAACAAACAAACAAAACTGGTGTTGTATTTTCAACCCTCAAAAATCAAGTACCAAAGAAACATGCTCAGTCTATTAGTACCTTGTGTGTGAATGTTGAAAATTTAGTAATCTGACTACATTTTACCATACTGTATATAGCAAAAGGATGATAGGGTTAAAGGATAAGTCAGGTTGGAAGGAACCTTAGGAAGTCCCTAGTCCAACCTCCCACTGAGCAGAGCCAGTTCTGAGGTCAGACCAGGTTGCCCAGGCTGCACTCATGGCCATCATTCAGAGATGCTGTATTCACCCACCAAGGGCCCACACCACATAGTCTCCTCCAATACCATTCAGATCTCTACTGTTACAGGAGAGAGAGACCTTAGGCAGATCAGTAACTTCATATTCTGTTTTCATATCATATGATCGCTCCATGTCCTCCAATCCTAACTGTATTTATCGTATTAGCAAATCAGCTTATCTTGGAAAGTTTACACGGACAAAATTGTATTAAATGAGGATTCCGAATACACGCTAGCCAAAATAGTAGGTTGAGAGTAGGGCTCATAAAATGAATTGAGAGCGCCGTGCTCTTTCATGAAGTATTAACTTGTAGCTTCCAATGATAGAGTCAGGAACGGCACAACAGATGTTACTCTTCAAAAACAGGCATAAAAAAGGAGTGGCAAAACAAAGGAGTCTAGTATAACTTATTTCCCATTTTTGCTCATATTTTTGAGCACAAACATTTGCTAATGTTCAAAATAGTTTGTGCCTTGATTCATCAAATTTTGCCTGTCAAAATAGAAAGGTGGCATTTGAATTAAAAAAAGAGTGCTACAGTTTATACGGCTGATAAGCAGAGCTGCAAATGTTTGTAAAACTGGTCTGAAAGACAAGGATTAATTTACTGAAAATATCGACATCAGTTAAACGTGACATTGAGAGAACAGAATCAGACAGATTATGAAACAAAGAAACAGAATGACAGAAGCAACACAGATTTTCAGATACAGAACCTCCTTAAATAATCCTAAGTACAGGATTCGCCTGTTCAAAATAAAACAGTACCACTGTGCATACATTTCTTCTCTATTAGATGCATCCATGAGCATGAAACCAACTTAAAAAGTAAATTTCCTCTGATGACAAGTATTCTATTATAATTTTTACACTGATTGTAAGAGTCCTAAAATATAAAAAAATCTCTATAGCAAAATGAACAACAAGAACAAAAACCACATGCAACACGTGGCATTTTCAATTAAGCTTCAATGAAATAAATGTGCACATTTTTCTGCTTCTCCCACTTCCATATATAGTCTTTTGTATTGGTGAACAAACAACTTGGCAAGAAATGTAAAAAACGGCATAAACACGGCACAAACAAACATCTGTATACTTGCAAATTTCTTACCACTGCTGGAAGTCTGCTGTGGCCCTGAACATGCTCTTAGCAGGTAAGAATTAGGAGAGAACTCCTCATCAGGATTGGTGTCCATGATTTGATGGGACGTGTTGCTGTCTAGCAAGGGCATCTGGCAGCTAACTGGTGGAGGATTATGAGAACTGGGCAGTTGAGCAGATGGAAGAAGGCTAGACGAGGATGTAGGTGGAATGGGACGACCTGGGAAAGAGGACAAAGGGATCAAAGATCAGCAATGAATGTAGTGAAAAAAAACTCCAAACAGCCAAGTAATTACACTGCAACTGTCCATCATTACAAATGTGCACAGTCAAAAAAAAACTCTTGGCTGGTACTAACTTGTCTGCTTGTATCCTATTCAAGGCAAAGTCAGCAGTTGTGCTGTGAAGTCATTCCAGAATTGTGTCCACAACAGCAGCTTGCAACTCATCACGTGAGTGAGAATCAATTCACTGGTGAAGGTAACTGAGCACCACTGCATCAGCAGTGGTCAGTTCTGTGTGCACTGGCAAATACACAACAGCCAAAAGGCTCATTCACAGATGCTGCAAAGTCCAAGCATAGCAGCCACACAGTTTCATTAGAAAATTCTATACATTTCTTTCTACAGTTTTTAGTACCAGTTCCCTAAAATCAAAGTAATACAGAAATAAAGCACATGTGTAACCATTTCTTAAAACAATGTTCTCCTGATATTTTTTTTTAACAGGCAAATGGCTCCAGCACTTACACTTTTCTGTAGGTCTAAAACTTTGTGCAATAAAGATTTTCATGGCCTGCATTCCACAGTTTAAACCAATTGCCTTAGCCCGATAAAACATTGAGTTTATTAACTTAATGGACACTTTGCCATCACTTGCAGCAGGTTCTGGACCCGGAGCCGGGGACCATCCCCGCTGGAGCGCGGGCCCTCCCCTCGCAGCCGCTCAGCCTGCCAGCTGGGCCCAGCCGCCCCGGCACAACCGGGGAGCGGAGCCAACTGCCCCCGAGAGCGCCTCACCACCCATCTCCCAGCACAGCAAGTTCTGAATAGATTGTGTTTTGGAAAGATCTTTGCAATATACTTCTGTTCACCTTCCAATTATTTTCCACCTCTTCAGCAGCCCTCCCAGAGGCAGTATTTTCTGAACAGAACTAACGCAAATGCAGCACCATTAAAATAAGATATATCTGATGGCCTTCTGTTTTTTTTTTTCCTTTATACTTCTTGATGTTCTCTAAAATCTCTCATTCAACTAAGCTACATGGTTAGTTCTTTTTACCATAGCTGTATGAGAGGTGTATTATACTCTCTGCTTTCCCATATAAGCTCCTGTAAAGTCCCTTTTTTTCCCCTCCTGCAATTATGAAGCATGGTTTCACATGACAGAATATGGAATATGACTCTGCATACACTGCATACATTTTACTTTCACATATTGGGGCTCTACTTCAACATTCTGAAGTTAAAAGAAGCAGCTTCATACAGTCAAAAGCTGCATTTACTATATCATACGGAAATACTGCATTATAGAAACACTGATGAGTTGAAAATAATAAAAATGTTGTCTGTGTAAATCTAGGATATTTCAGAGATATTTAGGAACATTTTTGCAGACTACATTGAAACACAGTTTTAACAGTTCGGTGAAACAAAAACTATCCAAAGAACTATTCTTCTGCATGGGAAGCTAATCACATTGCTATTTTCAAGGAATACAGCAGACCAGATCCCTGAAGCCAAGATAAAAGTTCAGTTGTGGATTAAGCTTAGATGGAACAGAAGGTTATCAAGTAGTTAACCTTTTCTGTTGTTTTGGAGAGAAGCTGGCTCCTGAGGTACATTTGTCTACAAGTTCATGCTTAATTGAAAGACATAGATGTCTGTGAGCCACGGAACCTCTTGCCAGCCAATCTGGTGGTCATCAGCTTTCTCTGCTAAGTTGCCAAATTTGATTAAAGCTTTTCTTGGACCTGGGGCAATTAGAGTCTCTCTGTCAAGTTGACTTTAGGCATCTACTAAACACGAAGCTCTCACTACAGCCCTTCCCTGCGCAGCAGCGCGGCTCTAACTCGAGTTTCTTTTCTCTGTGTGACCATTCCATTTTTTTTTCTTTCCTCCCTGAAACACATAAAAACATCTTATCTTAATGGTATGACGTCTTTCAAACATCTGTCCTTTTGTAAAAGTTGGTAGGAAATGAGTTGAAAAGCTACTCGACAGGAACAGAAAGACACATGTGCAGAGAGATCCTATTAAGCTCTGTTTCCTTCGGACATAAATCTAAAAAGTAGCTCTCTGCAGAGCTGCCAGAATGACTGAGACTGCCAGAGAGAAAAGAACATATATGATCAGGCTCTAAAAGGCACGATAAATACATTTTTTTACCATATGCTCTTAAATTAGAAATAATGGGTTCAATTCATACCATGTAATACTTTGAATAATTTGGTCAAATATGTTCAACATTTTACAATAGCATTTGTAAGCAGACTGAGCTGTACGGGGTTTGCAAATCTGAGCTTCCGGACAGATACACTTGCACGTACCGTCACAGTCATATTGTGAGACCTCCTATCTCTCAAAATAATTCATTTCAGTCATTTCACAATGGGACTTGCCTTATATTATGGTATTATAGATATATTGTGAAATACAGTAATAACAGTACTCTATTACATTGCTATTATCAAGACTTAAAAGCATAATGTAAAATAGAAACCTGTACAGTTTTTGTCTATTCTCATTTTGTACTGATTAGTGTTTTAATAGTGGTAAAGTTTCAATGGCCAAGATTTTTATCTAGTTGTGCACTGACGGAAGTTATATTATACTTCTATTTGAAAGGGATACTTCTATTGGCAAAAATAATGCAACTGTGTAATATAACCTAAAAATCTAAAAGAAATTCAAATAGTATAAAAGGAAACTAAAGTCTAAAAACTAATATATTACAATTTCAATTGTAAAAATTAGCCTCAGATGTGGCTCAGCCAGGCAAAGGCCCATACAGATACTGGCTACAGTATTTGTTGGTCATTTTTCAAAAAATGATGCAAACAACAATAAAAGAATCATTTCCTTTTTCAGTTTTATTACTTTCTCCTGTCATTTATCTTATCTTACTGATTAATGTGAAGCAAAAACTCTCCAACAAAGCATATTTTGATTTGAGATTGCCTTTTTACCTGGGTCTTTTGTGGACTGCAGCACCTAATTCTTCAAGGGCCTTTTCTTCCCTCGCTCTTTAGTCTTTATTTTTTTTTCTCCATAAGGTTATATAGCAGACAACATTGACTTAATCATTTCAATTTTTTCTCTTTAACAGTCGCATCTTTCTTCACGAACCCAGGAACTTTTATGAACTCTACCTCAATTACTGCTACACTCTCAAGCCCCCCAGGCTTCTACAGTGCCTCAGTCGCCTCACCGCAGTTCGGCCTTTGCTTGTTGCTGTAATGGTGCCAGGGGCCACAGCCATCTAAGACGTCTACAGACCCTGAGGATGCAGACCAGCTGCTGGTGTGAGTGTTCCTTTTACTCCCCTTGTTAAGGGCAGCTTCATAAGCAGACAGAGATTGAAAAGACTCAGATCAAACAGAGCTTTAAACAGATGATTTCAAATCCACAGGAGAATGGCACCGTACTCAATTACTTAGTATCGGTGGCTAAGAGACCCCAAAGCCCAGTGATGTCACAGAATCACGGAATGCTTAGGGTTGGAAGGGACCTCTAGAGATCACCCCGTCCAACGCCCCTGTCCAGCAGGGACACGGAGAGCACGTGGCCCAGGGTGGCATCCCGGCAGGTTTGGAAGATCTCCAGAGGAGGAGACCCCACAGCCTCTCTGGGCAGCCTGTTCCAGGGTGAACGTGTCTCCCCTGAGACACCAGACAGCATAAACGCCCGTGTCAGAGGAGGCTCCAGGTTCGCTGCTGTGAACGCGGCCGCAGCAGATTGTGCCGCCAGGGCTGTGGAGAACGTGTCCTGGACACAGATATTCATACAGCAGCTAAGAGCTCTGCTCATCCTCACCACCACACAACTACATTCGGGCACAACACCACCATTGCTGTAACCTGGAAGATCAACCCTATCTCTAGATAAAAAATGACAGGGGAGTGCCTGCAGTCACTCCCAGCACTAATATAAGTAAGCGAGGGAGGCAATCAAGGAGTAGCAGGCTGCTCATCAGTTCCTGCAGGATGTTGGGGACATGCTCTCCATGTGCACATTCCTTCTCCTCCCTCACAGGAGCCATGGCACATAGGATTACAGGAAGAAGGAAAAATTTAACATTATTGTTTGTTAAAATAACTATTTTGAAACTATAGTAGTATTCAAGTGTCTATAAAAGCATTTAGGGAATTAAAAAGTGAGATGAGTTGCTTCTACGTAACAGGTGCCATCTTAATAGAAAGTCTAAAACATGGAATTGGCAATTCCGATCACAAAGTCGACTGACTGAAACCAATATGCATGTTACACCAATATAGCATATAGTTCTATATACAAACAATCATGTAAAATTATAATAGAAGTGACTTTTGCCATTCTCAGTAACAGCTGCTGCACTGCTCCTGCTTACTCAAACCAGCCAAGGCGGGATCCAACCTAAGGGCAGCTGCAGGCCAGCAAGCAGACACAACTGAAGTGGCAGAGAGGGGTCAGATCTCCCCCTCCTCTACTCCGTTACCTCAGGAACAGCTGGAAAGGGAAGAGCATCAGCACAGGGCACACCGGCCAGGCCTCTCTTTCCCCGAGTTGAGTCCCCTGTTCTTGAGAACACAGCGCCTTCAGGCTCTGTTTCCAAGACAGCCCAGGCAAAGCACCTCCATCTCAGCACCGTTCACTGCACTCGGAAGGGTGCAAAACGTTGCTAAATATTGGATAATCGGATATCGGAGAATATCGGATGCCTGTTTCCGATAATCGGATATCGGAGAATATCAGATAATCAGATATCGGAGAATATCGGATGCCTGTTTTTGCCACACAGAGCACTATGTGATATGCAGGCAGCTGACCAAAGGGAAACTTGCTTGAGCTACAGCATACTGAGCAGGCGCTCCTACTCCTTCTCACTGTAATCATCATGGTTTTCTTTGGCTACCTACAAGCACAAGCCACGCTTGCAGCACTGTCCCCTTCTGGGAGAAAGACAAGAGAGCACCTGACTGCTACCTCGCTGTCTTGCGAGTGCCCCTTGACGTGAACACAA